CCCATCCATCTAGTTTGTCACAAGACAAGAAGAAACACAGAAACTCAGAATGAGAACAATTTGCTTGACTTGGCTTTTAAAAATTAGTTTTCAGACAATGGTTACTATGAGGTCTAATCAGACTTTCACGTGGACTGAAGGAACAGAAGCAAAGAGCATTAACTAACAGCTTCATAACATTTGCCACTAAGTTAAATATTGGCTTCTGTTTAAATAAAAAAAAATGTTTGTAACTGGAAGAGAAAGACCCCAGGATAATATTTAAAACAATAATAGCAAAAGCAACAAAACTTCTACTTCCTTTACCAAAATAGAATTTTTATATTCACTTATTCAACTGTTATGTAAAACCAGTTATCCCCTTGAATTTCCATTTAAAAAATTCATCACTGACGGAAGAAGATACAGTTGAAACACAAGTATAACTATTGTGCGCAGATGCAGTGGAAAAACCAGAGACCTAAAATATGGCAAAATCAGTGCTTCATAAATAGTCAATAGATTTTGCTCTAAAAATACTTTTTGCTAATGGCAAAGTCCAACACCTCAGAAAAACTCTGAATAAAGATCTTAGAATAAGTTTCCAAGCTGTACAACACAGTATTAATAAACTATCTTTGTTGTTTATAAGGCCGCATTGAAGTTTAGCTTAACAGTCATAAGCCATGTGTTTGAACATCTTAGGAGAGGTAACTCACAAAGAAAGAAAAATTGTCTTTTCATTCTACTTATCATGAAGTGTTACCATTGCTCCCCAAATAATTTCTTTAAAAGTTTCCTCTAAGATATGACCCAGAAAAACAAGGAAACCTCAATTGACTTCATTGAGACATCTGGAAAAATATTTAGATCTTTATAAAGTGGTAGTATAACACTTTGAATTTTTCTAAGAATGTTCTCCTGTTAATCCAAAACTACCATTTATAATCTGTATGTTATAGTTTAATAAGCAAATATACAAAGATGCACACTGTGGGTGTAGCTCTTACCTCATACATTAAGAAGCTGTAGACTGATGGTACTCTTTCCCTAATGTGTACATTTTCTGAAGCTAGTGAATTCTGTGTCATATTGACATAATTAGGGTTCTTAGATGCACTGCAGACCCCTTGACAGCTTGAGTTGATAGTTCTCCAAGAGACAATGCATACTTCTTTGGTGGAGGGAGAAGAAAAAGAAGGTGCCAAAGACTTAGGATTTTCTGGTGCATCTTCTTGTTCTTTAGAGCTGTCTTCCAGGGAAGGATTCAACCTTCTGCGGGGTACATGTTCATGTGTCAGGATAACAATGAATGAGAGGCTAGTCTTTTCCACTTGTCTGGCATGATCTCCTGGCAAGGATGGGGTAGGTGTTTGCCAGGTGGCTCTCAGACAAGGTCTCTTTAGGGGAATACAACAAGGCTTCAGTCACTGCTGTTCGTAAAGTGCTTTGGGATCCTTCAGGAAAGGGGACTGGCAGAATGTTATTTCTAACTGGCTTCAATTTTTGAACCAAATGGAACCATTTTCTTTAGTGTAATTATTGCTTCAATCATTAGTGAATGTTTTTAAAACCCAATGGAGCTCATCTTTAGGTACCCACTTCTTAAATTAGTCCTTCCCTGGAGTGGTTTTAATTATTGTCTCTCAGGCACCCTTACCAATTAGAAGATGTGATAGCCTTGCCTTGTAAGTGGTTGCCAGTGGAATACTTCAAAACTCTAAAGAATAGACAGCAGAAGTACAATCAGAGACCTCTAGCCAAGCATGTGCTGTCTGCCTGGCTGAGGCAACAGGCTGCTGCCTCTTGAATACATTGATGAGAAGATATAAGGTCAGAGTATGGCTACATTCTAGGTTGTGAGCTCTCTGTGTCCTGGGAATGTGTTTCACACTTGATTCATTGGTTCTCTGTCTGGCTTAGAACAGAAATAGCCATGAGAGGGCCTTATTCAATGATTTCTAAGCATCTTCACAAAGCATGGGGATAGATAATTCAGGAATAAGTAAAGCATGTTGGAAAAACTCTGGAGAAGAGATTTGGGACCTGGAAGTTTCCTCAAGAGGCTCTTAGACTGTATTTTGAAAAGAATAAAAAGGTCACGTTCATCACATCCAAAATAAAACAAAATCAATAAAATAAAACAAAAACATAGATATCATCAGTTCCTTATGTATATAGGTTATCAATATAAATGAATAAAAAATTGTGAATTGGCAGCGTGTGGTGGCGCACGCCTTTAATCCCAGCACTCAGGAGGCAGAGGCAGGTGGATCTTTGTGAGTTTGAGGCCAGCCTGGTCTACATAGTGAGTTCTAGGACAGCTGGGGCTACAGGAAGATCCTGTCTCAAAAAGACAAACAAAACAAAACAAAAAAACCCCCCAAATCCAAAACACATACAAACAAAAAATTGTGAATTAGAGAACACAGTTGTTTCTCACAGAATGCATTAATTCAAAGTGGGGTCACAAGTGTTTCAAAGTGGAAGTCAGGAGTGAATCTGAACAGTTACTGAGAATATACATAGCTACTTTTGTATGGGAATATTGCTAGCAAAATTCATTTTGAATGCAAGTGAATTAAGCATGTCCATTGAAATCAACTCTACATTATCCATTTTATGGACATGCCTCTTTTTCTCACGGAAAATAAAAATATAACCGAGTAATCCCAGTGTAAGTTAGTGGGTTTTAATTTAATGCAGTTGGGTCCAGTAAGCCAGAATTTTTTGAACAAATGATTAGAAGAGTATGTCAGTTTCTGCTTTTGAGTGCTTGTTGAATGCCTCTGATCAAATTCATAGTCCCAAACTATCACCAGTAGAAAGGTCAAGATCAGAGCTGCTTGGCTTCTTGGTTCTTGATAATTATAGCAACCATCTTAAAAATGCATTCAGTATGGGCAGTCTGTCTTCTAATTAGAGATAAGTATAAATCACATGCAGATAACATTTCTGTTATTAATTAGGAGTCATAATTTGAACTGACTTTTCTCCCAAACTTGGTTTTTTAATTAATTGACTTAGTTGTCTGCTAATAAAATTTGTATTTTCCAGCAATGAAAAGCTCTATGATACAGGAAACTTGTAAGGTAAAGCTTGAATAAAAGACTAAATTCTGAGTTAGAAGTGGATAGCTTTGTAAAATAAGTAAGTAGCCTGGACAATTAAGAGTTGACAAGGTATGTAGCAATTTCCAGTGGGACACTCTTTTATAAAGGAGATAGTTTTGAGTTCTGATTCTAACTCTGAGATTAAACCAGCTGTTGTAACCTTCAGCAAATCTCTTATTCTCTTTGGCCTTAATTGACCAAGAATTTAAGACAAATTTTATGGTTCCTTCAAGTTTTAACCTTCACTCCTTCCATATACATAATTCACTCAGATGGAAGAAAACTGTATTTTAAAATACCTCCATCCTCCCCCACCAGGACTAGCAAAGGAACCATAGTCATTCTAATCAAGATTCTTTGGGTGTTCACTGAATATAAAATCTAAAAATTGATTGAGGTCCGGGCTTCAGTTTCATAAAGACCACAGGCATCTGGTCAAAGCTGTGTCTTTTGAATAGGTAATTAGTTACATTTAAATCACGTTTAAAAAATTGCAAGGAATCAGAATGGCCTGGTGAACATGGGAGTGTATATGAACTTTCAGGAGTGGTGGACTGTAAATAAAGAACAGTAGTCAACTGGAGGGGCTGTGATGCAGAAAAGGACCATTTAGAATGCCAGTGAACTGAATGAGTCTCGGCTCCGGGTGAAATGTCCCTTTCTTGAATTTTTTTTTTTTTTTAAAATCTGTGTTTCTCACTTATGAAAAATCCAGAGAGGAGGCAAGATGACCAAAGCAGGAGTTCTAGGTGTTCTGAGCACATATGTGGGTGGAGCAAACTACTGACAGAGGCTTCTAAGGAAAGATTTCCTGTGTGGCCAATCGGCCAAACGATCTTATGAGCAAAACCCATGTGTAAGAAGCAGGTTGAAAGAGGAGGGTAGCCACCCCAGCCCTGGACAGTCTTGATCTGTGATGAGGAGTGAATGATGTGGTTGTGGGGCTCTGAGGAATCCATCACTGTCTGGCCATATCTAGTGGACACTTTCTTGTTCAGTAAGTTTGACCACTTTAGGATCTGATGCAGATACACTGCAATTCACAATGGCACAGCCCTCATGGATTCACTTTGTGTATTGTAAAGAAAGTACATGTTTGTTTCTTCCTCCTTCCAGTTGTCATTTCTACGATTCAGGCTTTTACTTCACTCAGCCATCTCTTTGCACTCTGGAGTAATTTACTGTTCATTTTCACGACTGAATAGGTTCTGAGTGTGACAGAAAGGCTGCTTCCTGCCCTGTTCTAGCTCAAAAACAGAAGTGTCTTCCATTTTTTTTTTTGGTGTCTTTCATATAACTTTAAGAGAAGAAAAGGCCTATCCAAGGCATACTTAATCAGGTTAAGTGTCGATGGATAAATTAGACTTGGGGAGTCCTGAGAACCTTGCACCTTGGAATATTCTGCTATAGCTGAGCAGGAACTGGGCACAAGTGTACTTGATCCCTTTTGCTAGAGACACAACGTGAACCTCCCCCCCCCCCCCAAGAGTCTCCTAAAAGTTTGGATTAGAAAGAAAAGCTATACCAATCTAATTTCCATTCATTGAACTCCTCATCAGTTGCAAAATCAATGAAAGAACCCTCCCAGACAACTTCTGAGCTAAGGTTGCCTCTTTGGACTGATCTACTTCAGTCGCAGGTGCCACCAAAAGTGTATGATTCACGGGTCTCAGACGCCATACATTTTCTAGGATGAGCCGAGAACAGCACTGAAAACTTTAGCCTCCCTCCTGCTCCCCACATTGGGAAAAAAAAACAAAACAAAACTGTACCTGTAACCTTTGGACGTGTAACTTTCAAAGCTTAAAAAAAATTAGGGAACACAGTGGGGCAGGCAGGGGCTATGGTGATGGAACAAGCAAGGGCTAGCGTGGGTGAAACAGCAGTAGGTGGCTAGCACGGGCCTCCCTAGAGCATACTGCTTAGTATTCCTGACACTGGGGATGTGGGGCCTTCTGGACTCATCTCTGAGCCCGTAGGGCTTGGCAGGCTGGCACGGCCTGCAGGGGTCGGGCTCAAGCCAGTCCACAGCTTTGGGTCTGAGCCCACGAGTGTCTCAGGGTAGGGTTCCACGTAGACTCGCCGCAGCGAAGGCCTGGGGTCCTGGAGGCAGCTCCTCCGCTCCTCGGGGAGGCTGGCTGCGTGGGCCAGCGCCAGGCCTCGGGGCCCATCCAGGCCAGGCCCAGGCCGCTCCGCCTCCCCGGGATCCCGGGCCTGGCCGCAGGATCGAGGCAGGTACTGCGTGTAAACACCCTCGGACAGCGACAGTGACTGCGTCTCGCTGTGCATGCGCAGCCAGCGGTGGTGACGGCTGAAGCCGCCATAGTGCTGGTGCTTGCCGGGTTTCCGCCTCCCCAGGAAGCCCAGCGGCGGCCGCCCGCCGGGCGCCATCTTGGCATGGTTCTTGGGCGCCAAGCCGGTGAGGGTCAGGCTGTGGAGAAACTCGGCACAGGAGTGGTCAGTGTCTGGGGCCTGCGCCAGGCCCTGCGCATCCTGCCCCGCCGAAGCCTTCACGTCATGCACCTGGAGCACGTCGGGGGCGCTGCCGCTGAGGCCACTGAGGGCCTGCTGAGAGATGTCATGCGATGACAGGTAGACCAGGTCTAGGTCTCGTGGGCTCAGGGCGTCGCTGGAGTCGTAGTCGCTGTCGGTTGGGAGGAAGACTTCTGAGCAGCCTTCTTCGTCAGAGCAGGGCTGTGATTCTGCAAAGTCAGGGGCAGATGTTGGAAGACAGACTCAGTTAGGGCCGGATTCATGGGCTCAGGTGCATCCAACCCGCGTTTACAAGAGCAACCAGCTTCATTCTTTGTCACATCTTGAAATTCTTAAGGCTTTTGGATAAAGAGCCCCACATTTTCATTGACTATGGTACCCTGCAGATTATACAGTAGTAGCCTCTGGTCTTAGTTTAAGGGTAAATAAATAAATAAGCGATAGGTCCAGTAGGGACAGTGGTGTGTGTGTGTGTGTGTGTGTGTGTGTGTGTGTGTGTGTGTGTGTTGGGGGGGGCATTCCCTTATTCCCCCGCTCATGCCTTGATTATTTTCTGGTAATCTGTAGAGAGGATGGACAGGAAACAAAGTTGGATGTTATTTTTTCTCTGTTCTTATTTCAGAGACAAGATTTGCATCTGACAAAATAGCAGGCATTTAAAAGGAGGAAGAAGGAACTGATGGCAGAAAATGTGAAATCTTGTTTTCAGATCTTAGTAGCTCTCTATGTTCTTTCTCTGTGATCTTGGAAAAATTACTTTGTGTTTCAGGTTCCTTATGTATAAGTGATGATGACAGTGGAACTTAGGGAGATTAAAAACTATTATGAATATAAAGACTTAACACATATTTTTTTAAAAAGCAAAACAGGCCAGGGTGGAGGCAAAATGAGATTCAGAAATAGGTCTCCAGGTGCATCTTATAATGACCTTGAGTGAGCTAAAATTTTCTGTAGGTATTTGTCATTTCATGCAATAGTTGTTTATCTCTTTTCCCATTTCTGATTGCAAGTAGTCTAAAATCCTTTGAATTTCTCATTTACTTAGTCCATAGTAATTACTTGGTGAATGCTGTACTTGTTAAATTTGAAAACATACAATGGTCTTGAAAAAAAAAACAAACAAACCAACCTTTACTTTTTTTTTTTTTTTGGTCTTTTGAGATAGCCCCAGCTGTCCTGGACTCACTATGTAGACCAGGCTGGCCTTGAACTCACAAAGATCCACCTGCCTCTGCCTCCCAAGTGCTGGGATTAAAGGTGTGAGCCACCACAGCCAGCCTTAGCTTTTAAATTTGAAACAATTCTAATTTTAAAAAGTTCTCACAGGATTTTTCAAGAGAATTCAATAAACTGATTTAAATATTCAACCAGAAGAGAAAATTTATGAGAATAATTAAAGAAAAAAGATACAATAGGGTGGGGATATCCTACCAGATAAAACGTACTATAGAGCTTTGGTCATTAAGACTTTGTAGTATTAGTGTAGAAATGGACAGATCTGCTGACTAGAAAAATAAAATCCTAAAGCAGATAAAAGTCTGTGATAATATGTGGTAAACACATTTCAAATTGGGGAGTGAAATAGATTATTTAATATATAGTGTTGGAACAATTGGCTATCCTTTTAGCAAAATAATGAGAGTCTTACCATACTCCACATATAGAAATAAATTCCATATGGGTTAAACATAATAGGTCCCAGAATATTAGAAGGCAATATATCTATAATATTTGTGTGGAAAAGTCTTTTTAAACAAGACATACCCCTAGAACTTGAAAGACATTTGATGAATTTGACACCCATGCTTTGTAAAACAAATGACACTATAAACAAAGTGAGAAGATAAGTGATAGGTTATAAGAAAAGAAGAGCAGCATGTGTAATAAAAGATGAAAATCCAGAGGATACCAAGAGCTGTACAATGCAAATGGGCAAAAGATAAGAACCAGCTGTTGGAAGAATAATAAATACAAATGGCCAATTAACATACTCTTCCTATGTTTAACCAGGACAGTAATGAGGGAAATAGAGTCCGAATAATAATCAGGGAAATAGAGTTGAAACAAAGAGGCAGTTTTTACCCATCAGATTTACAAAATGTGAAAGAATGACAGTATCGTGTTAGTGATGGGTGGGAAATAAAGGATAAATCGGCTCAGCTCTTTGGGCCGAAATTTGGCAGAGTATGTTCAAAATGTCCCCACATATCCTTTTTTTTTAGATATCTGTTTGAGAAATTGTCACTATGTGCACATGGAGGCATTTACCAGTTATTTACTGCAACATGATTTATAATAGTGAAATTTTAGATATCCTGTGGTTAAGAATGATGTCAAAGGAAGACTTAGAGGCACAGAAGCACTAAGAAAAGTAGTTGTAGAGTCCTGCAAGGAAGTTCATAGTCAGGAGTGGTTTGCTGATCACAAAATACAACAAGTATTAACAAAACTGCAGGGTTGCAATGTTATGGTTTGTCTGTTTATAGTGGAAAGGTAGACCATATTATTATAAGAATATTGCAATCTATAAGGATAAAGTTAGGGAGTCAGTATCAGGTTATCTCTATTAGGAACTCTGTAGCTAGATACAATGCTCCCTTCACTTGGTTTTTTAGGCTCATGGTATAAATTGTTTTTTTGTTTTTGTTTTTTGCTCGCCTCCCCCCACTACAGGAGATGACATACATATGTACTATTAGGTTAGGTGTCTTAGATGCATATTTGAGTTAGTGTATTTTCAACTTATGGTAGATTTATTGGAACATAACTCCACTGTAGGTTGAGGAACATCTGAAGTTGGTGCATAAGTAGATCTAACATTTCTAAGAAATCAGAGTATTTGTTTTCAGGGACTTTACTATTTTTTAAAAAATTGTTTTAATTATTTTTTTATTTTATGTGTATGCATGTATTGCCTGCATGTAGTTAAGTGCACCCATGTTGTGCAATGCCCGTGGAGGTCAGAAGATACTGTCAGAGCCCCTGGGACGGGTGTTACAGACAGTCGTTAGCTGCCATGTAGGTGCTTGGATTCAAACTCAGGTCTTCTACAAGAACAACCAGTATTCTTAACTGCTGAGCCATTTCTCCAGCCCCTGAGAGTTTACTGTTTTAATGGAAGTATAGGGCAACTATGCATTTATGAGACTGTAGCTGAATATAGGTTTTATAAGATGCAAATAAGACGCAGCTTTATAGGAAAGAGAGGTAACATTGGAACAAAGTTAAACACTATACTATCCTTTATGTATTTTTCTCCCCTCATTTTTCTTTATTCTTTTTCTGTTTTATTTCTTCATCCACTCTCAAAAAGTTTTCAAGGCAGGTTTTAGTAGGAAATGCACAAGCAATGATAACAGGATTATAAATGAGAAAGAGAAAACAGTATAAGTAAGTCCATTTGGTTAGAATATGGGGAACAGGAATGGAATGGGGGGGTATATGAGCCTACAAGAAAGGGCGTCAACAATTGCGTTCTTGGAAGTTTCTTTGGAAAAATTAGGGCTTGCTTATATGCAAATGTTCATAGTAACTTTATTGATAATAGACTCAAGTGGAAACTTAAATGCCCAGTGATGCATGAATGGCTAAACTGTGGCACATCCATACTATGGAATACTTTCCATCGATAAAATGAAAGAATTCCATATAGGTAACATTTGTGACACTGAGATGAAGAACAGATTAATGGCTGTGAAGGGAATAGGTAGGAGAATGGTTAAGTCTATATAAGGGATAACAGAGGGAATTTTGTGGTAAGGTTATAGCTGAGTATCTTGATTATGGTGGTGTTTACCCAATGCCAATCATGTGATAGAATTATGTAAAGCTGCCTATGTGAGCCCACGAGCATCGTGTAACTGGTGAAATCTAGATTAGCTGTGTTTATTATATCAGTTTTTTGCTTTTGATGTTATACAACATGTTAATTGGGACGGTGAGGAAGGAAGTACAAGGAACCTCCTGTACATTTCTTTGCAATCTTCTGTGTATAATTATTTTAAAACAGATTGCTAAGACAATTTAATTTTAAAAAACAGGTAAGGAACTTGCACTAAATTTTATAGCCAATGTGTAAATATTGAAGAATTGACAGGATAAGAGGTATGATTTAAGATAGTTATGTAGCAGGTAAGACGGGAGATCAGCTTAATGAGGCAGAGATGACAGAGAAGACAGCTAAGACGCTATGGTCTAAGCTACATGTTCCCTCTGTCTCTTTCTTGCTCAGGGTGTGGGGCTGAGCAATGGAAGTGGCTGTGTGGAGGAAGTATAAGTGCAGAAAAGTTATTTCTTCAAGATCTTATTGAGCATGAATTTTATGCTAGATAGTTAAGGTCTCTGCTTTTAAACATCATGTAGGTGGTGGATTAGACAACAAAGAAGTCAGAAAACATAAGCTCCAGAGAGTACAAAGTTCTTTGAAAAAAATTAAACTGGATTTTAGTTAGAGAGCGACTTGGAAAGAAGACTCTTTTAATAAGGTGCTCAAGGCAGCATCTCTGCAAAAAATAGAACCTACATGAGACCTCAGCGATCAGAATGAAAGTTTTAGAGAAAAGTGTTCCAGACAACTGGGAGAAGAAAGTTCATGAGGCCTCAAAGTTACTAGTAGATTTTATACCACAGTTCCTGGGAAGGTAGAAATGATAAGCCCTTAGAGTTGTATTGCAGCCCTAATTTAGTTTGGGAAATAGAAAGGATGGTAAGTTTAAATTGGGACAAGTTGAACTTGAAGAGGTGGCTTAAATATCCAGTAGATGTAATGGGAGCGTGTTGGGGTAGGAAGGTTGAAGGAAGTGAAGGTTGTGGCTGTGAAGATGAGGGTACCATCAGAGGGGAGATGGTTGAAGATATATTATTGGTGAGGTTGATAAATCTAAAAAGGTGGATCAGGACCGTGAGAACCAGTGTTGGTGTTCGTGCTTTCAAAGATGGAAGAATATTGTTTTCAGAGATAAATGGTTAGGGAAGAAGACAAATAGATATAAAGAGGTGTGTGTGTGTGTGTGTGTGTGTGTGTGTGTGTGTGTTTTAAAAGGAGAGAAAAGGATAACGGCAGGGTGAATGACTTTGATCTTTGTCCCTTTTTGGTGCTGGGGATTAAACCCAGGGTCCTGCATATACTAGGCTCTACCACTGAGGTGAGCTGTATTCCCAGCCCTGTTAGTTTTAAAACTAGTTTTGACTTTCTCCCATCTTCAATGTG